CGGATCGGTCGTTGGGTGCACTCAACGAAATTAAACCTGCTACGTTTCTCGACCTCGGACCGACGTAACAGTCGCAGTCTCTCTCTCGTGTCATTGAGAGGGAGAAAAAGAGAAGGAGAGACAGACGCATCGAAGGCTTTCGTCGCGTTTCGGCGTCGACCGGCTTGAAGTCAGCCGCGGCGGTAATTCCGGGGGTTGCATTACGGATCTTAACCCTTAACCCTCTCGCTCCCTCTCCTATATATGGTCATGTCGTACTTGGTTTCATGGAATCACGAGGCGACACCGAGTAAATGACGGCATTCTCGAAAAGATTTAATCCGGCCGTATAAAATTCATAGCCCGCGGCGATCTTTATTGCAGTTCGCGCACCACTATTGTAAATATTGAAATTTAATTTAATTTATTTTACGCGGGGCAAGGAGTAAAATGTAATGCACATATACATGCATTGAGAAAAATGTGTTGGCATAATTACTTCAGCCGCTTATTGTTCTTGTCAAAAGTCGAGTAAAAGCTATAGATTTGATAGTATTCCTATACTTTAATTTTTTTCAAGATATCTGATAAGAAATGATAGTAACAATTATTGACCAAATTATTAGCTGCTTTATTATTTAATTATATTTGTGAGTTATTGATGTATAACTGATGTACTTGTGTATTTTCGTCTATCTTTCTCGCTTTTACATTAATTCTTGCCTCTTTAAAAGAAATCATTATATATGAGAGATTAAAGATGCGTGGAAATAAGCAAACGTTTACTGGTGCAACATATCTTCATACAAAAGAAAATAATTGTTTTGCTCTTTTTTAATTTTATTAAAGTGAGAAAAATTAGTTTTTTTCATGTAATATAATATCTACTCGAAATATTATCTCATTTTTAATTCCATAAATTTCATAATAATACATATACATGCATTTTTACAAAAATATATATTTTCACGTGTACTATCTTTTTTTTTTAAATAATGACAATTTATCATTTATATGCATGAGAATTTTTTGATATTGAATAATGAATGTATTGACAACCGTATACTTTAAGTATTTCGAAGAAGTTGCATAACAGTTTGGCGGTAGAGATTTTCGCTGCAAAACAACACGGTTTCTTTTTTTCTCCTGGACACGCGAAGAGAGAATCGCGCATATATGTACCTGGATATCGGAGGCTGCGTTGCATAACGGAAACGGATATAGCGTGCGACGGTTAACGCGCGAGAACGAACGGCTCGAAAAGCTCGAAAAGCCCGAAAGAGAGTGTCACGTTCCCATGGTAACCCGGCGAGGCAACTCCACCTCTCTGGCCTCGTCGGTTCGATATCCTCTCGTCTCTTCTTCCCTGACTCCCACGTCAACGTGCTCTACATTTTTTTTTCCAAGCCGAGCCCACATGAATCCTACGCGGCTCTAGAGAGCAGAAGAAGAACGATAATAGTCCTCTCTATGCGCCAAGAGGAGAGAGATGTTCAAGAAAATCCTCCCGAAGCATCTCTCTTCGCGACACGTTAATCTCTTTGGTCTGCGTGATTATCGTTTATCTGTGTCTTAGCGTGATAAACAATGTTATTCCAGAATTTCGTGACAGAACAAGTATATATTATATGTTCCATCGTATTACATTATTTTTATTTAGATTTTACTCTATTCGATTTAGTGATTTAAATTGTCTGGGGAAAAATACTGAAAGTTGTAATTTAATAGAAAATAATAGTGTTAGAGATGATTTTTTTTAATAAGAGGTATCATGTTATAATATTTTTTATCTTTTTACATTCACGAAAATTTTTTTCAAGTAATGTTGTAGTATATCATAAAATAAAAAAAATTATGTAATATTCTCGTATATGCATATATTTCATATATGTTCGTCTTTTGCATATAATTTGCTAATAGAACGCAAGTTATTTTATTGCGAACAAAATGATGCAGAGATTTCTGCATTACGATTAAAACAAAAAATCGTATTAAGATCTCCGAGCTGTCATCGTCGCAATTTTTTTGCTTCACTCTTAATGCAGAAATCTTTGCGTCAAATTTTGAATTGAAATTACTGGACCGCATTTTTCGTAATTTAAATCGCGAATTATTAAAAAAATTATTTAAAAAATCATCTTTCGCTATAAAGAAGCTTACCCTCTATAAATTTAGACACGACCAAAAGTGGGTCAGGTATAGGAGATCAGAATCACATGCAAATTTCTCCTGGGATTCTCTTGCTTTGATTGACACTGATATTCATGCATTCTCTTCGAAATCGAGAGGGAAAAGATCACCCGCGCTTAAATTCCCGAATTTAGCCCGAAAATAATTCTACGCGGCACCAGCGTTAATATACGAATGACGAGAGCGAAGAGGGAGGCGTCGAATCGATACGAGAGTCGGCTGCCTCTCCGCCGAAAAAAAGGGCAAACAAATTCGCGCGCTTTTTCGCGCGTCCGTCCATCCATCCGTCCTTTCCACCCCTTTCCATCCCTCGATATACCACGTTCTCGCGTGGCCCATCTTGTTCTGTCCTCTCTAATACCGGCTTCGTTGGTGCACACATCCGCATACATACACCATCCCACCCTCGTTTCTCCCATTGAGCATGTGCTCTTTTGCGCGCGAAACGTTTCCGCGATTTGCTCCCCTTGCTCCTTTTCGCGCCTCCCCACTTTTTTCCTCCCCACCAGCATTTCCGGCCACACACGCGTCTTCCCTCTTCCTTTCTTTGCGCGCGCGAGGGCGCGCGTTAACACGTGCGCGCGAGCGATGGGCGAGAAAGAGCACGGATGACATATGCTAGAACGTAGCCACCTCTATATTTTACGCCGGGCTGTTCGCAAGAATTTACGATGCCGCCATCGGCATTCTTCTCTTCTATCTACCTATCTACAGCGTTACTTCCTCCTCCTCATCCTACATCCTTCCTGCTTGCAGTCTCTTTTCCCTTTCTGCTCGTTCGCACCCGAGAGAAGAACGTATATTCCATAAGTATGTATATATCTCGCTCTCTTTTCTCTACACTTTCGCTTCCTGTTAGACACATCTGTTTAACTAACTCTGTCTAAATGTTAGATTTCTTTCACATATCTCTTAATATCGTAAAAAATATTCTTTTTTATATCTTATTGAAGAAAATATAAATACAAGTCAAAATATTACCCTCGAACTAATTCATAAAAATATTATATTCTTGAATAATATAATAAAATTTTTGAATGAAAAAATTAATCTTAATATATGAGAGACAAATATTATAATTTTTCCTTATTGAAATATATAATTCACACCCTATATAAAATCGCACAATTAGAACCAATAAGCTAATCCTGAAAACTCGTACGCAGACTCTCGGTAATAAGGGAAGATTACATTACCGCGTAATAGAGCGCACCTTTTGATACATAATTCGTGACGTCTTCGAGAATTCGTGCTCGTGATATTCGCGAAAGAGGTCCTTTGATTAACGCACTTCAATCCGTCGGTGTGTTATTTGACTTTTTAACTGGCGCAAGTCCTGTTTATATGCTTCGGGCGAACTTTCAGCGAAGATCAAAAGGAAACTAGCGCGACTAAGGAACAGATTAAAGGAACAGCCGCGAGGGCTTCTTCTTCTTGATGCTTTGGCGAAAATTCTCTCTCTTTCTTTCTCTCTTTTGCGATGCTTTCTTTATTAAAAGCTAATAAACCGACCGACGGGAGTCTCTCCCGACCCGCGATTTCATTAACTCCATCTTTAATATTACAGAGACACCGAACGATTCGTGTCAAGTCGCTAGATCAGCGTCGAAATAATGTAATCGTTAATCAGACACTGCGCTCTATGTGAAACGAACATGCCATATATTGCATTCCCTTTGACATTCATATGAGGCAATTCTCTCGTGTCGGCGCTCGCAAATCTCTTCCCACATTACGATTGCAGACAAATTCAGCGAGCTTTGATTCCTAGCCGCGTTAAGTTTTCAATTGTGATGTCTATCTCGGAGCGATATGATGTTCCATTTACTTGGTTTTCGTTATTTTAGGTTTTGGGTTTTAAATCAATTTAATATTAAACAGCAATCATAAATAGATGCAGAAATTGGTGTAGAAAGACAGTAAAAGAGACATAAAAATTAACATGTATGTAGAGCTTGTAATGCATTTTATGCATCTTGTCGAGATGCAACGTTATTTCTTTCTGTTTAAAAAAAAACTGATGCTGTTGACATCAGCTGTTATTCTTTTCATGAATTAAGATTGATCGAAGTGACTACAAATGTTGATCATTTTTACGTTACACAATTTATTGTAAGTAAAAAATTTTGTAAAAATGTTTTATTTAAAATATTCATGATACTCGATAAATATTTTTCCTACACTCGGTATATAACAATCTCAATATTACTTCAATTAAATAATTGAATATGCAAAATTGCTTGAAATTATTAACCGATATGCTCTTTCGTTTATTACATTAACATTTAAAGGAGAGTTCAATTAATACGTTTTACTCGATTTTACTCTTTTCTATTCTAACATCGTTCTAAACGTAAATAAAAAAAAATTGAATAACGTTTTAAGAGTCTCGCAAACAATAAATGGAATAAAAAACAATTGATAAGAGAAGAATGCATCTTATCAAATTATGACATTTCACTTCGTGGAAGATCATAATTTTACTTCGATATGTGAATAAGAGATTTGCTAATATTTATTTAGTTTCGACATATTTTTTTATTTTTAAGCAGAATTATTCTTATAGAATTATAAATCTTTTAAATTTAAATAATTATTGATAAATTTCGTAGGACAAAATAATATGCTACGTGAAACTGATTTATTAATTTGTCTTTAGTCTTTAGGCATTTTCTCTTTGGTTTAATTGCCAAAACTATTTGTTTAAACTATCACAAAATCTAGAACTATTAAAGATAAAGCCACAACTTTTAATTATTTATGTTTCCACGAAATGAGACGCTTTACACAACCCTCTACAAAAATGTTATAAATAACAATTTCTCACTCACCGATGCAGCACCGATGCAGCAATAGCGGAGTTGTAGTTCGCAGCACGTTGATCTGAAAACAAAATATTCAAATTATACATTATACATGTCTGTGTGTGTGTATATTGTAAATATATTTTTTAAATTTTTATTTTGCATACCTTATAGTTGCCCCGCTGTCACCTGATGCCTTCCCCGGCCTCCTCCTCCTCTCGTGGTCCTTCGTAGCAATTACACTCGCGAAAATACGAATAATTACGATCGTCCGACACTTTACACGGCACTCCCGATATGTAAAATTTTACACGGCACTCCCGACACGACGCGTGAATCGCATTGTGTACCGCAATACTACCTGTAACAAATCGAATACATACTTATTAGAATAATCTTATTGTTTCGCATTATAACGTACACAACATAAATATATAAATTAGAATTAACGATAGATCCATGGATCGCAACACATTCGCGCGCACGAAAACAGGTTAGGTTAGATTGGGTTATGTTGAGAAGAAATTTTGCATCGAATTTCTCGCGAAATATGCGTTTCGAACAATTACGACTACACATGAACGTTGAAATTATAACATGCGATTGAGAAATACAACAATACAAAAGTTAGAAACAATTATGCTTACTAATTAATCACAGCGGAACGCAACCTGAACTGCCTGGTACTCGCGGCGTTTCGGTAATGACCGAAGCTATTCGCTATTCTACGAACAGCGGCAACTTCATTTTAATAGCGCGCGCTATATACGACTTAATATCAGGGTTGGGTAAGTTAATGATTTTTTAAAACTAATTGTATAAAAGTTAAGTTAAAGTTAGTTGCTTATAAAATTAATTTAGTTAAGTTATAAGTTTCATGAACAAAAAATTAACTCAGTTAAAGTTACGTTAAGATTAAATTAACTGAAGTTAAATCAAAAGTTAATTTCTAAAAATATTATTTATATTGAATTAAAATTTTGTTTGTTAATTCTTTTAAAATATATAATAATAAATAACAAAGAAATTTTTATTTTTATATAGAAATATATTTTTTGGTAATTACAATTGATAACAAATGAACATAAAAATTAATAATACTTTAATTTAAAAATAATACGTTTATAACTTATAAAAAGTCAATAATGGTATTCAGAGGTAAATAAATTTAACTTATTGTTAGGAAAAAAATTAATAAGTTTAAGGTAAAAAAAAACTAGTTGAAGTAAAAATTAATACATTTTAAATTAACTAAGCTAAGTTAAAAGTTATTAAATTTTTAACTTTTTTTTAACTTTTAACTAGTTATTACCAAAACCCTTAGCCGTATATACGACTTAATATTAATAATTAATTAAAACTTGAAGGAGATTGGTTCAAAAAGATATGTATAATTCTCGAAAATCGACTGGCGACTCATTTTAATATCTGTAGATATCCGATTGTCTTTATTTTGACTTAATTTTTTTTTTACTTTTTTTTAAGCAAAATTCTATTTAGAACACATGTAGAACTATAAATTGTTTTAATCTTATAATTATTGATAAGAAAAATGCTGTAGAACAAAGTGATGTGCTGCTTAAAGTTGACGCATCAATTTGTCATTTGGTATTTTCTTTGCTTTAAAATCGCTATAACTATTTGTTTAAATATCAAGAACTCTATAGAACTATTAAACTCTCAATTATTTATGATCTTTCATTAAATGACATGCTAGCTTCACACACACACGCACATAAACACAATGATATGCGCATGATAATTATTTCCATTCTATTTGAATCGATCGAGAAATCGACATGCGATTTTTTTCGCTTTCTTTCTCCCTTTCTCTTAACCACATTTACGGATAAGAATCCCTTATCAAACCAGGTCCTAAGAACTTTTTAATTGAGAGAACAATTTCGTCTGCGTGTACTCTACTTGGACGAAACTTTGGGGAAGTTTTATAAGCCGTTATCTTTTATCGCCGTGCTTCCGGGCACAACTTTTCTTAAACCTCTGCCGGCGCGGGTCAGCATTTTTAACCCGCAAGACGTAAAGTTAAATATTCACTTCTCATGAAAACGTCGTAAAGGACCACGGTTTCTCTCTTGCGGAAAACCAACGGGAAAAACGGAATTCATTTACCTTGCCGGCATTTCGCAGAAGCGGAGTTTCCTCGTGGACGGATGTAATCGCTCCAGCAAATACGGCTCTTTCACTCTCGGAAAACCCTCTCTCTATTTCTACCACGCTGTTTCGTCGAATTTAAAAAAAAAGGAAAGGAACTTTTTGGAAGAAAAATCTTTACGAAGTCGGTTAGGAGAGAAACATTTATATAATTTAATTCTCCCGGGAAATCATTTTTTCTAGTCATTAATGAATGGCGCGTGATTCCTTCATGTTACACCTAATTTTACATCGAATAATGCATTAAATTACATTTTGAAATCTTAATTTCGGAGGTAAATTTTAATGAAGACAAGTTTGATTTACTTAATATATATGTATATATTAATAATTAATGAACACATATGTTATAAAAATATATGTTGCTATATTAAAATTTTGTTGCATTAAATTTTACGGAGACAATAATAAATATTAATAAAAATAATTAATATCCTATGATTTAAGAGTATCGACAGGCACACGTGGTGGACCAAGTGGATCGAGCATGGCGCCATGGCGAGAAAAGTTATACACTTTGAGTAACATGAACAAACCAATTAGCTGGTTAAGCGACCAAACCCCCATGAAATTCAATTGTCTTCGCCCCATGCGTCTCGCCCGGGCTAACCGCCCTTATATTTTCATCCCTCGGCCCGAAGACCGTGCCCCGAAGAGTCTAACGGCCGTACAGGCTCGCTATTATGGTGTCAATTAAATTAGATCACCAGCGAGCTAGGGGTGGCTTAACTGATACGATGTCAGCTCTGCACGGGCTTGTGCCCGCGCAAAGTGCGTCGTTAAAAATGAAATGTAAATACTCGCAGTTAAATATCATATTAATATCATATACACATAATATTAATTTTTGTATATATTTTAAACAGGTAGCAACTCTCGCGTGCAAGGTACACGGTGAAGAGTAAACTAATTTATATGCGTTAATTTATGTTGCAAATAAAAATAAACGAGACTCAATGTGTCGCGCGCGCTTAATATGATTTATTATTAATATTGACTCGTATATTTATGTTCGATTATTATTACGATGTTTGTAGACTGTGACGTTATTTAATTTTTAACTCTATTTATTTAATATTGTATAATATAACAAATAATAAATATATGTATAATGAAAAAAGCGATATAATTAATTAAAATGCATTTACTCAGATGATATGATATTATCAGACTAATTCACGCTGTATCAGTTAATTCTCAAACAAATATATATCTTGTATCAGTGGTAATAAAAATATATCAATAATATAACGTGATATGCACTATTAATATAATATTTAGTTAATTTGAATTTTATATCTTTTAGAAATTTTATCTTGCGTCAATTATTGCACGATGGAAATTAAAAGTCTCACATTAAAAAATTTAGAAAACAACTTTAATTATAAATGCAGGTAATCTATGCGCAAATTCTAATCTCTACTAAAACGTAAGTTATTATTTTTTATGCGCTTTTTCGTATTTATTTTTTATATGTTCATATGCAAAATATTTATTTGAAACATAAAACTAAAGAATGTATCACAGAGGTCCGAGCAAAAACGAGATCGAATTACGAGCGAGAAACTTGTCGAACGCTATAGTAAGTCATATTTTACAAATCACTTGACTATGTTTATGAATAATTTAAACGTTCCAGCCCCCTGGATACGGACGAGGGTAAAACTGACGATCCTCCGAGGACAAAACGCAGAAACCCCTCGGGGACATGGACCCTTTGTTACTGCCCGGTCGCTGGTTACAGCAAGGACGCCAGTGTTTGATCCTACACTACGCGGTAAGCCACGGAGGATCATCGTCCGTATTGATCTCTCTCGGTATTGATATTCTACAATTCTCACTCCACTGCTTCTCAAATAGAAAATTTAGAAATGCACCGCGTAATATAAATATATATCCCACTAAGAAAAAAATTCTTTTATTCTGATTTCATATATGATACAATAATTGAAAAAGTAAGCATGACAATATAAAACAAAACATAAATTAATTAGATACCTATACATTTTCAAAAATAGAAATTAATAAATGACAATCGAGAATATTTAAAAATTATTCGTTTTCCTACTCTGATTTATATTCTTATACATATAAGTATATATAATTGAAAAAATTAACATGATATTAATATAATGCAATATATATAAATCAATTAAATATATATTTTCAAAGAAAAAAATTAATAAAAGTCAAGAATAATTAAATTAATTAGAAAAGTTAATTTTTAATTTGTTGATACATTTGAGGCAATATTTATTATAAAATGTATCGGAAAAACGTCTGGAGAGTTTTAACATTTTTACGGTATTAACAACTCATCTAATTTTTAAAAAAATCATTTCAGATATATGCAAAACTTTGCACTTGAATTTTTGGACGATGAGATAAAATAATTTATATAATGTAAATAGAGTGCACATCTTTAAACCAGAAGCTATCTAAGTCGATGATTTTTTTATTTTATTTATAATAAGATCGCGCTGCAACGAGAGTTTATCCTGTGACTCATATGATTGCTGGAAAAGCATTGAACCAGATTACGACGTCGATCCCTAAAACCTCGCGAATACAAAAGGGCCGTATTGATGATCGCTGACGATCATTGCTAACGATAATGGTGGATTAGCACGATCCCATCTGTCATTTGACTTACGCAATCCCAAATTTCTTCGAGACCCATCGCCGATATTATAAATTAAAGCAGTCACGCGCATGATCGAGAAATCCTTATCTTAATTACACACCGCGTGAATATATAGAGGTAAATATGTATATCTTTTTTCTTGCGCGATTAATTTTTAATGTATTAAAAAAAAAACCACGAAGTATGTTCCTTTGTAAAAATATTCAAAATATAAGAAACATACGTCATGAAATGACTTTACGCATTATAACATTCCTTATATAGGGAATTGCTACGTATATACTCCGCGAAAAGCCGTATACGACGTCGAGATAGAGAGAGATTTATCTCGGATATACATTTCATTTGGCAGCCTGCCAATTGGCCTGATCGCCCCAAGCGAGCACTGCGGGTATTTCACGGATTCGGCGAATATTTAGTGGGGTTTTACGGATTTAACGCTCGCCGTCAAAGCAGGTGGTTCGTACAGCGAACATTCATCTTCCGCGGTCGGCAGTCTTGCGGATTAACCGATGGCACTCTCCATTCTCTCGTCAGATCTTTAT